TTAGGATTCCCTAATCAAAACCCTAGTCTGGTGGCTTTCCTCGTACGGCCCGAACTCGTAAACAACAGCCGCCGCCGCCGCAAATGGAGACCGGCAAGGCTGAACAAATCACCGATAATATTCCCCAAGAAATCATCGAAGAAATCTTGTGCAGACTCCCGGTAAAATCTCTATCGAGATTCAAGTGTGTTTCCCCATCAGGGCGTTCAATGATCTCCAGCAAACAATTCATCAAAACCCATCTCCAACGTTCGAAAAAGATCGAATCTTTCGCCGACCAAAGAATCACCTCCACCTGTCAAGGCAAGCTAAAGGCATGTTCTCTGTCCTCCTTGTTGACCGAACCGGTCATTCGCGCCTTTTCTATCGATTTCTTTCCGATGAATAGTTCGAATGATATAGTTATCGTGGGTTCATGCAACGGTTTGATCTGCGTTCTAGTCGACGCATGTCGGTTTTTCTTGTTGAATCCTTCGACAAGAGAGTCCAAGGAATTGCCCGACTTCTTTACCGGAGCGATGTTCCCGAAGAATGTCGGTTCTATTCGTGGATACGGATTTGGATTCGATGAGAGTAGTGGCGATTACAAGGTTTGCGTCGTTTGTTATATGATGTTAGTGTTTGGTTCAAACGTGACTTTTCCGAGTACCGCAAGAGTGTATAGCTTAAAGGTCGATTCTTGGGGACGTAATTTGTTCTTTAAGGATGTGTGTATATTTGGTTCAGCCAAGTTTGTGAGTGGGAAGTTACACTGGATTAGCGATTTTAAAACGAAGTCGAAATGGGATGATGTTTGTTTCGATTTGAAGAGTGAGACTTTTGGAATCGTGAAACAAGCTAGTTGTATCGAGGGTTATTACAGCCCGAGATTGGGAGTTCTCAAAGGATATCTTTGTGTGTTTTCCGGCTATTCTCCAACTAGTATGTTCGACGTCTGGATTTGGAATGAGTATGGGGTGGAAGATTCTAATTACGTAACCCCGTTGTTTGTTTTGCCATGTGGCGAAGTTCTGTTTACGTACGAATCGGATTTTTTTATTTACAATAAGAAAGACAATTGCGTCACGCAACAACACACCGTTGACTTTGACCGTGATCGTCACGGTGAAGCAGAGGTCTACATAGAAAGTTTAGTCTCACTTGCACTTGATGATTGATGGTGGTGAATATGCGAGGCAAACTTTTATGGTATGATTTGATTTAAAAAAAAGCATAAAAGGAGTATAGGATTAAATGTTGTTTAATTTTCTTGTATTTTTCTTTTTCAAAATTCAAATCCATGCAAGTTACAAATAAGGAAAGTAGGTGACATGCATTATTCGAACCCTAGTCTTTTACTATAACAGTAAATGTTAGGTACAAACTCTTCATAATCGGATAATACTAAATGGTTTGTGGTAATTTTACTGTAGTTCACTTTTGTTATTTTTCTTTTTCAAAATTCAAATCCATGCAAGTTACAAATAGGGAAAGTAGGTGACATGCATGATTCGAACCCTAGTCTTTTACTATAACAGTAAATGTTATGTACCAACTCTTCATAATCGGATAATACTAAGATGGTTGGTAGTAATTTTACTGTCGTTCACTTTTATTATATTGTTTGATTTGTTGACAAGTCAGCGTAATTATATTACTGTCGTTGACAGTAAAATAACTGTAAACACTTTATGTATTCAATATTCTCTTTGAGAACAATACATAGATGATATTGTAATGGATTTAAGACACACTTACAACAAATAATAAGAAGAAAAGTTTCTATTCTCCTTATGTTTGATTTCCCATTTTATTGTTTTGCTTGAGTTTTTAATAGTAGATTTATAACATTTTATCAGCATGACTTGCTCTACCTCATTAGTCGGTATTTGCATAAAATTGAAAGTCTACATGCACTAGCAATGTTTGTTGGTTGAATAATTTGTATCAAATTCGGTTCTCATTCTTTTATTCGGATGTGCCTACATTTACGAGGAATATTAAAGGTAAAATCATATAATTAATTAAAGTTATGTATGCCATGAATTACTGAATGCTTCAATCATTCTAGGCATGTAAGAATTTAAAAGAAAAGAAAAATGAAAAATCATGCGTTCGTGAGTAACCTGAACGATGGAGACATTTATTTGGTGGACAATAGAACAACACACACAATTTTTCGAGATCAAAAATATTTCTTGAGTTTGAGGAGAGGAAATGAGAAGAGGAAATGGAGAAAATTTGGGAAAATTGGGGAAATTATACACGCATCGGGGAAGATGGCTAAGAAGAGGAATGAAATAAGGAAGAAGATTGTTGGAAGAGGAAGGGAGATAATGAATTAGGGAAAATTAGGCTAAAATATGTTTTTTTTTTTACTTGAAAAGACAAAAAAAACCCCTCGAAATCGCATGTGTCCAATTCCGGTCATTTTGGCTTGAAAATGGGCAACGTGGCACAACTTATTGAGTTTGGATGGGATCAAATTTTTATTTATTTTAGGTGGTAATCAGCAAAAACGAACAAAGTTTAGGCGGTTTAATGCTATTTACCCTAATAAAAAATCATATGGGCATACTTTAAGAATCAGAAGATTGTTTTGCCCCATGAATGTATGTGCATTGCATGCTCACAAGGGACATTGATTATAAGACCATCTCCAATGAAAACTGGTAGCGATGCCCCAACATTTTTACAAAGATTTCAATGTGGACCATTTCACTATTTTATGGTTCTATTGGATGCATCATATAGATGGTCACATGTAAATCTATTGTCAAAACGTATGGTTGCTTTTGATAGACTTTTTGGTCAAATTATAAGATTAAGAGCTCAATTTCCTGATTATCCTATTATGACTATTCGTCTTGATAATACCGTGAACTTTCATCTAAGCCTTTAACGATTATTGCATGTCAATTGGTATTGATATTGAACATTCACTTGCACATGTACGACTTAAAATGGACTTGCAGAGTTCTTTATTAAGAGATTGCAATTGATTGCTAGACCTTTGTTTTACGGTCTAATTTACCCACTTCTATTTGGGGACATGCAATATTACATGTTGTTTCATTGGTCCAGATTAGACCAAGTCATTTCAACAGCATTTGTTGGTCGGAATACCTACACGCAAGTGCACGTATTGTACAAGTAATATAACGAGTTTTTAAGTCCAAGTATCGATCCCACAAAGAATATTTAATTATCTAATCCTAGACGCTAAATTATATCAATTATTATCAAAGTCCACCCTACACAGTCGAAAGTTGATTAATAAAGCTAAATTGACTAAAAAGATTTGAAAATAAATTAAACAGGCAAAAGTAAGAAAGCAATTAAACACGAAGATTAATTAGATAAAGCAAACCTAAGATTTTATTCTCCCCCCTATGTGATTATTAATTCCCCAATTCCTTCAATTATGCAAGTTATTAATTCGGATTACTAACCTGAGATGCTAATTTAATGATAACCCGCTTCCGCGTGTATTACGATTCTAATGTTCTAAATTAAATTACTGTATTCCTACGCAATTAGATCTAGAAAACAACATTAATCATAGATCTCAATAATGGCTACCTAAGAGGCCAACTATATTCTTATGATAGCATAACGAAGATTCTGCTACCAAAGTTCTAATTATTAATCTGATCTTCCGATTCATGAGATTAACAATAACAGAAAAGCACATAAAATGGCCAGTTTTATGCACTTAATAAAATAAGTAGAAGAAATAATTTGGAATTAAAACTACAGTATGTAAGTTTGTGAGAGGGCTATCTCAAACAAAATCTAATACCAAATACCTAATAGTTTTGATGATACAAGTGTAGTAATTGGAATTTTTTTATTGAATTTTTAGAATTATTTTGAATATTAAAATTAGATTGAAAATCAAAATCTCATATGTAGATTATAATTCTGATAAAAAAAAAAAAAAAAAAAAAAAAAGACGGACAAATATGAAATTTTGGAACGAATAACATTGAATAAGAAAATAAAATTAAATCGAAACCAACATAATTCGATTTTTTTGTTCCAATCTTTTGTTGAATCCTTCGGCTAGAGAGTGCAATATATTGCCAACCATCTATACTGATTACAATCCTAAAAAGATAGGATAAATTACAATCACCTCCCTGAAATAAAGTGTAATTACAAAAAGCCCATTTTCTTTGAGAAATTGCATTTAGTCCCTTGCAGTTTGTAAATTCTTACATGCATTCCTTATAAAATGGTGCTAATGCAAGGAATCTACAAATTACAGGAGTTGAATATAATTATGGAACATTGAGGAATTTTTTCGTAAATAGACTTTACCTCGGAGGGTTTTATGGGTTTACGGGTGTGTTTATCGGAACGATGTATAATATAAAGAAGGCTGATTCTTGGTTAGGTAATGTTTTGTTTAAGGTTGGGTTTCCGTACGTATGATGATTCGAAATATTTTGAAGCGGGGAAGTTTGTAAATGGGAAGCTTCACTAGATAAGTAATAAGCTTGGAATGAAATTGAAATTGGACATTGTTTGTTTCGAGTTTCGACAGAGTTTTGAAATTGTGGAACAACCTAGATGTTTGGAGGGTTCTAAATTTTGCCCGAGATTGGGAGTTTTAAAAGGATGTTTTGTGTGTGTTTTGATGATATGATATGATAAACCCACAAAAATATAAATTCTCAAAATAGCTCTACATATTTCTTTTTGAGATAAGCCCAACCTACCCATATCCCATCCCACCCGACCCGACCTGACCCGGTCTAACCCGACCTTTTCTTTCAGCTATTATTATTATTATTATTATTATTATTATTATTATTATTCTTTTTTAATATCTTTGTGGCGGTGGTCTGGGTCATCGGAGACCCGATTAACTAACTCAACATTAGTTAAATTCAAAATTAGTAAACTTTAAAAAAAAAATTCTTTTAATTTTTTTCCTGGTGGTGGGTCCTTGGAGCTCTGGTTAGCTGACTCAACATTAGTTAACTTCAACATTACATTCAGCTAATCGTAGCCTAAATATTCGCCGCTGAAAAAAAGAGTTTAAAGGAAAAATAAATAAAAAGTCAAATGTCAGCTAATGCGAACTCAACTAATGCATAGTTAGCTATAATCAGAGTTCTGACATCCCGTTGCCGGAAAAATAAGAAATAGTTAAAAGAAAAAAAGTTGGACGTCAACTGAAGTCAACTAATGCTTAACTAATCGAAGCTAAAATATTTTTGCACAAAACGAGTACAAACTAGAGAACATCCCATGGAATCTAGAAGATTATGTTCAATTTGACAACATAAGGGCAACATGTAATAAGATTCATAGTTGAGGGGGTGATTGTAATTACCCAAAAAGAGGTTTTTGTAATTTAACCTTTCTTTAGGAGCTGACCATAATTTATGTTGGAAATTTTAAGTGTTTAGACTCAATTTTTGTTGATTATTTAAGTGGATTAAATATAGTTTCTCAAAATTAATTTTAATGAATGAGAAATTAATAAAATCACTTAATATAATGTATGGAAAATAAAGAAGTGAAATGCCACCATTGGAAAAGATGGAGGTGTTTAAGTACCTATTAAATGGAATAGATGTATAATTAATGAGAAAAAGGTGTGATACATTTTCATGAAATTATTTTCCTAACGGGTGTGACTTGTGGTCATAACCTTTGAAAATCTATAAGGGTGCATTTGGATGGAGGGATTTGGGGGAGGGATTTCAAATCCATAATAACAAATCCCTCGGACTTGTTTGGATTGAGGGATTTGGAGATGGATTTCAAATCCCCACCCCTCCCTTTTGGTTGATTTTGGAGCAATAGTGATGGATTTCAAATGACTCCAAAATTGGAGTCATTTCAAATCCATTCCCCAAATCAAATCCCTCCCCAAATCCCTCCATCCCAAATGGACCCTAAATAGATTCCAAAATCCACCATTTGAATCATTCATTTTTCACATGGAATTCAATACATTAATTGAATTCACTTCTTATCATAGCATCTCATTGCATATTGTTGCAATTATAAAGTCCCATTTCTTCGTGTCTTATAAAGTCCTAAACGTCGTTTTGTTCGCCGTGTTCCAATAATTGTTGTGCTACTTTGTTCGAATTGAAATTGTCATTGTATCTTAGAGACAATTGTCGTAAACCGAAAGCACTGCACGGGGAAAATTTAT